CTAATGGATGCCCCTGATGATACATATTTAGGTATAAAGATAATTATAAACAAAATATTTTTGTAAACGAAGAATACTGACTATTATTATTTTAGGTGGCAATGATTTTTGCCACCATCTAGGGCGTATCGATGTGATGTGTTACTTCAAATAAATTGAAAATATTTAAGATTTGGGAAATAGATTGCTGAGTACTTTGCCGACTATAGAAACAAAGAAAAAAGATTCTTTATTGTAAGCGAATATTTAGACATATATCGGAAATATAGTACCGCAAGACCTACACAAATAGATAGTAACATATATTTTTTTAAATATTTAAATGGTAAAGCATATAATCAATTAGAGGAATTCATACTTTTGGGAAAATGCCAAAACGAGTTGCTGAGTTTCTCATATTGAAGGATGCTTACGAATATACCGGACATTGTTTCCGTAGAACTTCAGTTACACTGTGTTAATAAATTCAGGAGCTGATATCACAACTTTGAAAATGCATGGTGGATGGAAATCTTCAACGGTAGCTGAAGGCTATACTGAGGAGTCCATAACTCGTAAATCAGTTGTTAGCAAAAAACGTTTTCCTATCTCAAGTACATCAAGTGCTGGAAGCGATTTTTTAAATAATTCAATGACTTTGAAGGATTCAATAGTTCATAAACCATTTACTAGTAGACCAGGGCGGATCTGTCGAAATATCCCACTTCCTTTCACACATTTTCAAAATTGCAAAAATGTTTTAAAAATTTAAAAAAATACCTATTTTATCTGAGTATTTTACTTATATCTTGAATCCTATGCATTTTGGAAGAATATTGAAGAAGAAAAAAGTTTTAGAATTGAATTTTGCCCAATATAGTGTAAGTTAAAAATGTTTAAATTTATTATCGATGTTGCAAAATAGCAATAATTGATGAAAAATAGGCAAAATATTAAGTTTTTTGGATAATTTTTTTTAAAATATTTTAATTGCTCCGAGGGCATTTTAATTTTTTATTTTTAAACTATTAGGTTATATTTATCAATTTGCAATTTAGCTTTTTTCAAATATATATAATTTTAAAGTACTCGGAAGAACTTCTTCATAAAAAAAAAATTAAATTCCGTTTATTGGTTCTCGAGATATAAGCGGTCAAATTTTATAGGCATTTACCGTTAATTTATAAACAATTTAGCATGTAGCTTCGTTTTTCCGAGTTCTAAGCTGGAACAAATGTTCCATCCATAAGTTATCGGCAACATAGATAAATTATCGGAAAAGTTGTCGCTCGCACGCTCGAAAAGTGACTCAAAACACGAAAAGTGGGGAAGGTGGCTTTTGCTCCGAGACTGAATTCAGATGTTCAAAATGCGAAGGTACGAAAAAAATTGCATTATCTCGGCTTCTAATAGATCAATTTTGATCTTTTTTTAATCCGATGTCTCGCGAGCCAAGCAATTCGAATATAGTAATGCCAACTGTCTAATTTGCACATTCTAGTTATAAACAAAGCTTATTATTTATGCATTAAATACACTGTATATTTTACCCTATGCTATTGCATTTTTTCAATGAATAAATTTGTTTACGTATATATTTCAACACTCTGAATATGAATATACAGGGTGTCCCAAAATAGAAGGCCATACCATTAACCATATACTCTTTGGACAAAAATAATGCGACTTTCCTTATGCCATTTTTTATTTGGGCGTCCCTGTTTCAATATACATGGTATTAAAGTTACATTTTAAAAAACTATTTTTGTTAATAATCCCATTGCTTTGTAAGATACACACTTGAAGTTTTGCACGTATATGTCATTTTTCTCCAAAACAGAACATTTAAACAAAAATTTACAAAAGAGATAAAATGATCAGAGGAAAATTCTACGTTTGATTTTTCAAGAAAAAGCTGCATAGGCGTACTTAGAAATAATTGGAGGGGATAAAGGGTACTGCATCCCTCAGTTACCTCCATTCGCCCTTCGATCTTTTTCACCAAAATTACATAATAAGTATGCCGGAATAAGACAAAAGTACGTGCAAAATTTCAAGTGTTTTTTAAAATTTTTTAAACATTTTTGCAATTTTGAAAATGTTTCGGACCTCGCCCAGATCTAGGGATCTATACTTTTATTATGTGAGTTGTACCGAAGATAATCCAGAAAAAAATTGCTTGCGCCCTCTCACATCCACCTCAAAACAGATCCGCCCTGGTCTATAGCGAAAATACTTCAACCTCCATAGACGAAGTAAATGTTTCAAAACAAACAGGACAAGGGATGTCCCTAACAGGCTGTTCTAATTTTACTATAAATGTTTACAAGAAATAAAATTACTTTCGTTAAAGAATAAATTTTTTCTTCAAGCGTATAATAATACTTATATTATATAGTGCAACACCTCCTTTAGAAGCAGCCTATTGTTTAACTAGTACAAATATTTATCATTTTTTAACTAGTAAAAAAATGTAAGAATGTGTAGGTAAGTATCCTAGCAACGAATTAAAGATTCAAGAAGCTTTGACGTTTCATTAAGTGTCAGTTGAAATTTGATGTCGCGTCGGGTCGTTTTTAAAATGTCTGAAGAAATGCAGTGCACACCACCAGAATTACTGGAAATTGCAAATACATCAGTGGCAACACTTATACCAACAAAGTCGAGAAAAATTTATGAAAATGCTTATGATAAATTCATAAATTGGGCAAAAGAAAATAATGCACATATTTATTCAGAAAATGTGATGATAGCATATTTTACAAGATTATCCAGAACACTGAAAAGTTCAACTTTATGGGCGCAATATTCAATGGTAAAATCTAAATTAAACATAGAACACAATGTAAATATTGAGAAATATTCAAAATTAATTACATTTTTGAAACGACAAGGTGAAAATTATAAACCAAAAAAGTCGAAAGTTTTGTCTAAAAAAGAATTTGACGAATTCCTGAATAAAGCACCTGATGATAAATATTTAGCAACCAAGGTATGTACTTTTTAAATTATAGGTAGATATATATTTAACCTTTTTATATTTGTAATACAAAATTTTGTTATAATTTGTAAACTTCAAGTTATTTTATAGTATCCATTACGAGAATAATAAACAATTTTCGGAAATAAAGATAGCTCATTGGAAGAATGTTGTAAAAACTCATAAATATAGATGTCTTAAAATTACGTCATGTTTTAGAATTTCCTTGCATTTTCCAACTTTTTTTATTGTTACAAAATTAATAATTCTATATTTTTTAGGTTGCACTAATATTTGGAGTCACAGGAGCTTGTAGATGCGATGAACTCATTCAAGTAAAAGTTAATGATGTAAAAGATTTGGGAAATATAATATTAGTAAATATTCCCAATACAAAAACTAAAAAACATCGTTCATTTACCATAATTGGAGAGTTTTATTTAAATTTATACAGAAAATATGCTACTCTTCGGCCAAAAGACATAACTTTTGATAGATTTTTTATTAAATATCAAAATGGCCATTGTCATCGTGTTGTAATGGGCATACATAAAATTTCAAAAGTGCCAAAAGATGTTGCATCATTTTTAAGGTTGCCAAATCCACATGAATATACGGGGCATTGCCTTAGAAGAACCTCGGCAACTATCTTAGTTGATAATGGTGGAGACATTACAACCCTAAAGCGACATGGTGGATGGAAATCTACCAGCGTCGCTGAAGGATACATTGAAGATTCTGTAAACAATAAGAAACAGATAGCGATGAAAATATTAAACCCATTAGAGTATAATGAACCAAGTACATCAAGCGAAACTGTAAATATTGATCCTGAAAATAATTTAATCGAAGACTTTTCTGTTAATAATGGTACAATTGTTAACACTGAAACTGAGAACCTTATTACAAGTAACGTATTCAACGACAGAACTGTAAACTTTGAAAAAAAGACAGCCAGCAGCGCTTTAAATATCAACAACTGTACCATACAAAATTGCACATTTAATATTCATGTTAATAAATAAAGTTTGATGATAGACATGTAGGTAATTTAGATGTTTATTCGTTTAATTCAAATTAAAGAAAAATAATTGTTACATTTGTTTTTTTATTCATGAATAAAGTGGTTAAAACTGTCATGTTTAATTAATCAATAAAATGTATAAAATGTATAAAATAAATAGTATTACCTACCTACTGATTTTATTTTGTGCTGAGATTGAACATCGCGTTATCCGCTATAAATTTTCAAAATTAGTAATTTTTTATATTCACGCTTGAAGAAAAAATAGTATATGTCACTCGGAGTGGAAGGCTCATTATGTGTTTTGCCCAATTTGCTCAGCCTCGGCTAACGCCTCGGCGAGCAAACTTTTGGGCTCAACACATAATGATCGCCTTCTACTCCTAGTAACATAATATACTATTAATTTTTAATTCAGCGGCAGTAAAAATGATGTTAATGTCTAGGCAGTAAATGTGACACTTCAGTGCCTGACAGCTGTCACTAAAACTACGCCTTTAATGTCGATCTGCGAAAAAGGAAATTTGTTACAGTACTTAGTGCTTTTGATAAATAGTTTCGATTATCACTGAAGCTTATGAAAAACTCTCAAATTATTTGCGTTGTCGCGGGATAGGGACAATATTCTCGACTTCCCGAGGCCCAAGCTCGAGCGGGACGCACGTCGTCGGGGGCGGGTCGGGCGAAGAATTGTCAAGTTTCAGCGTGGAGCGCGCGGACCGCCAGTATCGGCCGGTTCCCGCGAGTCGGTAGTCAAAAGCGACGACGGCGACGACGGAACGGAAGTGCCCTCGCTCGTCCTCGCGATTAAATTCCGAAAACAAGAGATAAGTCGCGGACGACCCCATTCGGCACGCGTACATCGCACCCGATGGTTCGAATTTCGTGACAAATTGTACGTTGTCGGTGAAAAAACTTGGAAAAATTTTGGGGGAATGCGGAGAAGTTTTTGAAAAGGAGCGCGATTTGTTCGAAAGTATGCGGGACAGTAAATTATAAGGCGTTGAAGAGATGGAACAGTGAATTTTGAAAGCTATGGAAACATAGGTAAAATAGATATTCTTAATAATATTTTTGTGTCATAATTTATTAGTTTATCTGTTTCAAAAAGTCCATATTTGGGTGAATCGTATATTCACGGAGATTATTGTCTTTTTGGCTTTCAAATATCACTAGAAATGAAAATTTTTCTATGCGCATAAAAAATTCCCTAAAAGGTAATGTTTTTTAACCCCATTTTTGTCGATTTTTTCGATTTTTATAATAATAATCATGATTCATTTAATTTGTAACTAGTCATATTTTGTAAAAAATTTAATTTCCTTTTCCATTTTTGTCTAAAATCAACTCTTGAAAAGATACACAATTAAATAGGAAGAAAAACACTTTTCAATTTTTTTTAACCTATTGTGTCGCCAAAAGTTAAGCCCACTTTTTTTTTATGCGCATAAAAAAATTTCTAATTTCTAGTGATATTTGAATGTCAAAAAGCCAAAAATCTCCGTGGATATACGATTCACCCAAACCAAAACAGATACCGCCTAGTCTAGTCTATATCTATGATGTTCATTAACAGAATCAAATGTGCATAAAGAAATTTTACAGCAATTTATTATTAATAATTAAGTTATAGCAATATGTAACGTTGTTTTTTATTTTTTTTATAGAAAAAAAATCTTGTTTTGTTATTTACTAGCACAATTGAGTCTATTTGATATTAATTGAATTTTTATCAAAGTTTTATTTTGGGACATTTCAGCTCAAACTTATTTATTATTTTTACACAATCTGTGAATGAAATTCTTGCATCTGACTGACAGGTTAATGTTATATACATACAATTTTCTAAAGTGTCGCTTTAGACAAACTAGGTATCTGGTTAAACAAATTAAGTAGGTACTATTGATTTCATATCTCCTACAATAAACTTCTTTAAATCTTACCTTGATGGTAAGTATCAACTTGTACATTATCGTGGTATTAGATCCAGCAAAATCGTTGCATTTTCTGGGGTGCCTCAAGGCTCTGTGTAAAGGCCACTGATTTTTAATATTTACGTTAAATATATTACGTTCAAATTATGTCGATACCAGTACTATATCCCGATGATAACAACTTCAGTTTGCAGTAACAGTGACGTAATTAAACTCCAAAACGATTTTACATCTTCAATGTCATTCGAAATATTTGGACTTATTCAATGTTTGTGCTGAAAACATACATAGGTATTGAACTTTCGAAACAGAGAGAGATGCACTAACGAAATTTGGACAGGACATAGCACATAGCTAATACAATGCGAAACATCGCCTTACTGTTAAAAATGTTGTCACCGCCGTTCTTGGTGGTGAAAATTCTAAATTTTTAGAATTATTCTATTCTCGTGGCTGAAAACATACATAAGTATCGAATTTTCGAAACCGAGAAAGATGTACTAACCAAATTTGGACAGGTCATACATAATACAATGCGAAACATCGCCTTATTGTTAAAAATGTTGTCACCGCCGTTCTTGGTGGTGAAAGTTCGAAATATTTTTTCGAATTATTCAATTTTATTATTAGATCCAGCAAAATTGTTGTTTATTCGGGGGGTTTTCAAGGCTCTGTGTAAGGGCCACTATGTCGTGTACGTGTAGCAGTGCTCCATCCCGATGATCACTTCAGTTTGCAGTAATAGTGACGTAATTAAACTTCAAAACGATTTTACATCACTAATGTTTTGGTGTGAAATAAATCAACTTCCACTTAATATAAGCAAATGCAACAACATGAACTTCAGCAAGTTTTTATTTTACGAAACTCTAAGGAGTTTTTTAATGTGAATACTTCTGTTCAAATTAGAATATGTTTTGGTTATTCGGACCCACACCGTGCATATCAATGATGTAGAACTCAGGAGACGAATTTTAAAGTTCTTATATTTCACAGAGACTGATTCTTGACTGATTCTCCTTTGTATGAATTTGATTTGATTTGATTTGATTTAAGTGAATTAAAATTGGACGGCATTTAACCGTAAATTTTTTATTTTAAGTCAATTTTACCTTCTTTTCCTATAATTTCAAGCGTAAATTGTATATAAATTTATATGTACTTTCCTTCTCTGTAATTTAGTGTCCTGTAGGGCAGTGTTTGTCATAAATAAATGAATAAATAAATACAATAGTGATAACTGAAATTAATTTAATGGTATTTGAACAATACGGGAGTTAAATTCAAATTGCCAGGATAACTGAGCCGCATACGAAATAACTGATTTACTTCTGCCCATTACACTTTAATTAAAATAGTCTAAGGAGGTTTAAACGAATTTTCCTATTAAGAAGAAACATGGGCCTCGAGAGGAAATAAATCTCAGAGGCAGCTGCATGAGATACGGCATAAGACATTAGCTGGAGATCGCACAAATCACACACGAGATGTCTTTAAAATGTATTTGGTTTTTCAAAACATTAGTAAAAATTGTGAACATTCATACCAGTTAGAACGGATTCAAAAATATTTTTTTTCTATACTCACATATATGGCTTAATCTGTATGAAAGCGATATTTTTCCTCTTTTAAACGGGGTTCATGTAATCACGGATTGTGGCTATTTTAAATGAAAAGTAAACATTTTTATTCAAATCGGTCTGTCAGAATAATATTCGTGACTGTATGAACACGATTAATCTGAAATTAAAAAATAAATATTGTTTATTCTTAGCTCTCTTATTTTAATTTTATTATAGATGTATAGGTTATATCAAATAAATTTAAAAATGTTTCTGAAAATCCTATCGAGAGAAGTCAACAATGTTTTTCGATAGCAAAAATCTACGTATGCAAAATACGTATTTAACCTAGACATTTTTTGCATACCTAAAAAAATCTAGGCAGTAATAGTTGGATGTATCTTTTAAAATATCCGAGATCTCAATGGTGCGTCTCGAAAAACGGGCACCCTGTGTATTATGGTAAATATTTTTATAAAACTTGTGTCGAACATTGTTGGCATAAATACAGACAACAATAAACTGGTAAAATTAGAAGAGAGAACTGATTCTTCTTGCAGTAAAACTAAATTTAGCCTTAACATCTATAAATGTTTGGAAGCGTCGGAAACGGTTTAGCGGTAATTCTGAGGACTCGACTTCACGAAAGATGTAATCTTTTATACGATGCGCATATGTGTATCATTGCATTATACTTTATATTTTGTAGTAAACGTTCGACCATGAAAAAAGTGTAGTTAATGTTAATGTGTAAGTTAATTTATTGAAAAAGAACAAAATAGATGTATAGAGTACTAGTTAAGATATAATATCAAGAAAATAATAAGCCAATAAAGTTCTGTTATCGGAACTACTGTAACAAATCGCGACAAGGGCGTGTCTTGAAATTTTCCGCGTTATTTTCGGTATAATAAAATATATACATACAATATGTTATTAATTTCTTTATTCGAATAAATAACCGAATGATTAGTTTTAAGTTTTAAGTAAAAGTGTTTTCAATTGGTTTTTAAAGTTTTACTCGAAAAAGAGAGTAGTAATTTGTAGAAAATTAAAAGACGAATCCGAAAATATTACGATTGTTACCGTAAAGCAGTGGCGTACTATTTTATTTAGAAAAATATGTTACCGATACCCTGTATCCTCCGTCACTGGAGCATGTAAATTTTAAGAAAGACCCTCGATTTTATTTCACTTACTAGTTTTTAAATTATTTAAAAAAATTAAAATTAATTTTTTGAAGTTTAACACCCTGTATATTTTTAATGAAGCGACCTAGATAAAAATTTTATAGGGAAGACTCCCCTTAAAATTCACTAAAGAATACGAGGTTTAATTTTTGGTCACCATTTGTTAATCACCCTGTATATAAAATAGATTCTTTGGATTAAAATGGGTTTTTATTTCTTTTACAGTACAGCAGAATACAAATCATAAATGAATTAAAGGATAATACAATTAATTATAAACACACTGGTACAAAAAACAAGGAATAATTTGTTCCCATTTTTGTATGTTGGTTTTTGCACATACATATACTCTTGTGTTTTTTAGGAGAACCAAATTTTAATTCTCCATCGTCATTGTTTGTACTCTGATTGAAGATACTCTGTAGCAGTGTAGCACTGTAGTATTGTAGCAGTTACAAACAGTTTTTTTTAATTGTGTTTTACTTTAATTTAGAAAAATTGTCTTAAAATAATTATAAACGTTAAAAACGGTACTCTTCTACTGGGAGTTAAATTCCTTTCTTTTATTTGTCACCTCCATTGTCTTATTTTAATAAGAAACTAGAAAGGCAGGCAAACTCCGCTGACACGGAGTTTGACCTTTCTCTCGTAATAAGAAATTACACTGAAAATGCACAGGACGATACACTTATGAAGAAACACGCCTTTATAACTTCACCTGTTACGCCGCCAATGTCTTTCTACCTCAGGTGTCGAATGCGGTTAATTCCAAGAAAGCGACGCTGGGGTTTTCTTGGCATTCTATCGCAAAAAATATTGTACAAACTGTAATTTGTTTCTATTATTATGATACTTCTGTACTGTTGCTTTTTTTTTCACGGTATTAACTATTTTGTCTCCAATTTTCGTAGGTCCGTGGCAAGCAGTGATAACCCACTCATTATCTTCCTAAATGACAGACATTTAGGAAGATTCCGTTAAATCCTTTCTAAGGCCAACGTTCATGAAGCGAATCAAATCAATTTTTCTGGGCAGCCAGCGACAGTTTTTTGCCACCAAACAAAACTATTGAGCTTTCGGACAAACAAGCAAAAAACGGTCACACACAAGTGTGTCAACAAAAACTAGATACGAAATTGATGGAAATATGTACAGTGTAGAACATAAACTTCTATAAATGGAATAAAAAATGTCCATTCATCACATCCATATACTAGAAAAGACTTTTTCAGTTCAACATAGGTACTTAATAAAGATATGTAGCAGCAAACTCTACATCAAAGCGTAATCCAATTGGCTTTTGGAGTTCTACGTCATTAATTACAATAAGAGTTTGGAAACCCCATTAAATTCCTATTGGA